ATCCAAACTGATTTCCCTGTCCTAAGGTCAACTAGCTGAGGAGCTGGCAGATGGCATGGTGGTTAAAGGCAGTGGATTCCCAAATGGCTGATGACAGTTTGAGTCCCAGACCTGGCAGCTTGCTTGATCTTTTCCTTTTCTCTCTCTCTCTCTCTGTCTGGTCAAATTGAAAATAATAATAACAAATGGCATTAAATAAATAAATAGTTCTTTAGAAAAAAAAAAGATCAGGGCCAGCAGGTAGCGTGGTGGTTAAGGGTGTTGGATTCCCACATGACCAACTGTGGTTCAAGTCCCAGAGCTGGTGGTTTGCTTTCTCACTTTCTCTCTCTCTCTCTCTCTCTCTCTCTCTCTCCCTCTCTGGTCAAATTAAAATAAATAAATCAATAAAGTTAAATAAAATAATAATTTAAAAAAAAAAAAGATTGACTAGCTAGCCCCACAGCTTAGTGGTTAAAGGAGCCAGATTCCACTTGACTAACCTCAGTTTGAATCCTGGCTGCCAGCAGCTTGGAAAACATGCCGGCTGTGTGTGCATACATTCCCCAAATCTTGAGGGGATGGAGAAATGGAGAATAAATTGTGGCATGACCATTCCCTGTTGATGGGTGCTTTCTCTCTCTCTCTCTCTTTCTCTCTCTGTCTCTCTCTAATGAATGCATGTGCCCTCTGGCAATTAGATTAAAAAAAATAATAAGGTCAACTAATTAGCAACCTTAGTTCCATCTGCACACTTAATTCCCCTTTGTCATGTATGTCAGGTTCTAAGGATTTAGGATGTGGTTATTTTAGGGAAGTTAATTATTCTGCTTATCACAATTTCCAAAGTTAAACTATCTTGTGCCAGTTGGATAGTCAATCTATCAACAATACTGAAATCTTAGATTTGTTCAACACATTTATAGATATTACATGTTCTTTTATTTGCCTGAAAGGTAAATAAAAACATGATCAAATAAATTAGTATACCTTTGGAGGATTCTCGGCTTGAGGATTTAACGAGTTTTACCATACTTGTAAGATGCTCACAGGTTACAAAAAAGATATTGGGCCCGTGAGTGAGGTGGAGGTTAAGGTGACTATCACACATGGCCATCTCCGTGGTTTGAGTCCAGACCTGGTGGCTTAAAACACATGGTGGAGGGGCCAGCATGTGGCATGGTGGTTAAGGCACTGGATTCCCACATGGCCAACCATGATTGGAGTCCCAGATCTGGTGGCTTGCTTTCTTACTTTCCTGGTCTCCCTCTGGTGAGTCCACATGTCCTATAGCAAACTTAAATAAATAAATGAATAAAATTAAATTTTTAAGAGAGATTTTTGCTACAGGGAGCTTGCTCTCATCTGAGAGATAGAGAGAGAGACAGAAAGCAAGAAACCATCCCCCCCCCCGGGGGGGGGATGGCCATACCACAATCCCATCTCCTTTATTCTCCTCTTAGGATTTTGGGCATGTGCATACACACTCCCATATGAGTTCTAAGCCACCAGATCCAGGACTCAAACCACATGGGAGTGCAGCAACATAATCATTATGCCATCTGCAGATTCCCAAATAGAATTAATTTTTAAAAGAGAGCTTTTTTTTTTTTTTTTTTGGGGGGGGCGTTTTGCACTAGCCAGAAAAACGGAGAGAGACAGAAAGCAAGAACTAACCCCCCAGGGGGGATGGCCACACCACAATCCCTTCTCCTCCATTCTCCTCTCGGGATCTTGGGATGCAAGCACACATACCCACTGTGAGTTTAAGCCACCGGGTCCAAGACTTGAACAATGGTCAACTACATAGGAGTCCAGCGACATAGCCAATATGCCATCTGGTGGTCCCTAAAAGAGATCTTAAAAGAAAAAGAAAAACATGGTGGGCACATATGCGTGCATGCCCAAAAATCTCAAGAGGAGAGTGGAGGAGATGGGATTGTGGCATGACCATCCCTCTGGGGAGTGATTTCTCTCTTTCTCTAGCTCCGTCTCTCTCTCTCTCTCTGTCCCTCTCTGGTGAGTGCATGTGTCCTATAGCAAAAACTAAAACAAAACAAAAACAGAAAAGATACTGCTGGTTAACCTTGGTTGTTGGTTAAAGTAACTGGATCCTGCCCAGTTCAAGTCCCTGACCCAGAGGCTTGAAAAACATACCAGCACATACATGCATGCATGCCTAAAACCCTCAAAAAAGAGACAAATGAAAGAGCAGGAATTGTGGCATGACCATGCCCCATGGGAGATGCTTTCTCACTTTCCCTGAGTCTCTCTGTGTCTCTCTGTCTCTGTCCAGTGAGTGCAAGCACCCCCTGGCAAATTTTCCAAAGAAAGAAGCTAATATAACTACTGAAATATTCTTTCTCTAGGAAGAAAAACAATATCCTAAAATTACTACTTTTTGATCAGAACAATAGATGTTTACACTGGATTTTATAGAAAAAGCTGAGCATTTAAAGTTTTAAAAAGCACTTGGGGGGACAGCAGCTGGCGTGGTGGTAAAGGGTGCTGGACTCCCATACAGCCGACCGCAGTTCAAGTCCTGGACCTGGTGGCTTGCTTTGTCACTTTCCTCTCTCTCACTCTGTTCCTCTCTGATGAAATTTAAATAAATAAATAAAGTTAAATAAAATAATTCTTAAAAAAAAAAAAAAACACTTGGGACCAGCCAGTGGCAGTGGCATAGCGGTTAAGACAATTGGATCCTACATGACCCACTGTGTGGTTCAAGTCCCATATCTGGAGGCTTGAAACACATACAGGGCACATGTGCATGCATGTCCCAAACCCCAAGAGGAGAAAAAGAGAAGGGATTGTAGCATGGCCATCCCATGGGGGGTTGTGAGATGTACTTTCTCATTTTTTCTCTTTCTCTGGTGAGTGCAAGTTCCCCCTAGCAAATTTGTAAACATTTGGTAAAATAAACTTTTTTGTTTTCTTTAAAGAATTTTTTAAACTTTATTAATCCACTTATTTATTTTAATTTGACCAGAGAGGGATAGAGTGAGAGAGAGATATAGAGAGAGAAAGAGAGAAAGCAAGCTGCCAGGTCTGGGACTTGAACTGCAGTTGGCCATGTGGGAGTCCAGCACCCTTAACCACCATGCCACCTGCAGCTTTGGTCAAAGAAATTTCAAAACTTTTTTTTTTTTTTTTTTTTTTTTTGGTTTTGCCATAGGGGGCATGCACTTGCCAGAGACAGAGAAAGTAAGAAATCACCCCGCTGGGGGTATAGCTACACCAGAATCTCTTCTCCATTCTCCTCCTGGGGTTTTGGGCACATGCCCACATATGCCAGCATGATTTTCTTTCTTTTTTTTGGTCAAAGAAATTTCAAAACTTTTTTTTTTTTTTTTTTTTTTTTTGGTTTTGCCATAGGGGGCATGCACTTGCCAGAGACAGAGAAAGTAAGAAATCACCCCGCTGGGGGTATAGCTACACCAGAATCTCTTCTCCATTCTCCTCCTGGGGTTTTGGGCACATGCCCACATATGCCAGCATGATTTTCTTTCTTTTTTTCTTTTTTCTTTTTTGGAGAGGTGTTTACCATAGGGTGTGTGCGCTCTCCAGAAAGAGACAGAGAGACAGAAAGAGAGAAATCACCCCCCGGGGGGATAGCCACACCACAATCCCTTCTCCTCCAGTCTCCTCTAGGGATCTTGGGCACAAATGCACACACACCCAGTGTGAGTTTAAGCCACTGCGTCTGGGACTTGAACCGTGGTCAACAACATGGGAGTCCAGTAATATAGCCATTACACCAACCGCTGGTCCCCTCAGCGTGATTTTCAAGTCACCAGGTCTGGGGCTCAAACCAAGGTCAGCCATGTGAGAATTCAGCGCCTCAACCACTACCCCACCTGCTGGCCTGAAATTTAAAATTTTTTAAACTTTAGTTTGTGAGGATGAACTTAGTGGTAGTGAGGAAAAAGTAAAAAGCTTTTTCTTTTTCATTTTTTTCCAATAAAAAATGAAAAGCAAATATATTTGTACCACTGTATTAGCCTACAAAAGTATTATGGGTAGGAAAAATTCATTTAATTCTATTCTTTTAACAGATGTTTTCAAAACAAGCTATGATTGTTGCAGCAAAACAGCTCTACCAAGAGTCTCGCCGACATGTCCCTAGGGGACAGAAAGACTCAGGCAAGGGAAAGAAAACGAGGCTAGACACCTGTCCCCAAGGGAAAAAGGAAGAACACACCTGGAGAGCAGCTCAGATAAAGGGAGGGGGCACCAGTAATTGCAGAGAAGACTGCTTGCAACATGTTGCGGGTTTACAAGGTGGAATCCATTTCTGGAGAAAGGGATACAGTAGCAGCAGACTGGAAGCTGGGACAGCGAGCCTGTGCGGGATTGTATCTCTTTCAGGCTCAGCTCTAGGGATACTCCTTCCAGGAAGTTTTCCCAGCATGCCCAGAGTCCAACTTGGAGCGAGGACTGGCCCTAGATGGCCAGGCACCCTTTGTCCATCTCATGTATTCATTCACTCTTCATTTAGTTATTCCTGTGGCGCACCTTAGCATGCTCTAAGCCGCAGGGACAAAAAAGTAAACAAGGCGGAGGCACTTCACACATGGCATTTACTTGCATTGGTGCTGGCTTGATGTCCCTCCCCACAACCAATTCTATTTCATTTTTCACACTCTCCGAGTCTAGCACAGTGCCTGGCACCCACTAGGCGCTTATTAACTAAGGAAGATTTGAAGCATGTTTTTGATCGGGGGTTATGTTCTCTATCTGCAGCCCTACTAGAGGCGGGTGAGGCGGGGCGGGGGGGACACGGGGGACGGGTAGACATGGTGAGAATGGGAAGGGCATCATTATTTGGAATGCATTATTTGGAAATCCACAGCTTTCCTCTTTCTGTGGCTGCTCATGCTGAAATAAGAGTGTGAGATTCCAGGGTGGGATGGGAATGTCTTTCTCCTTTCGCGTGGGCAAAGGGGTCGGACGGGGGAGTGGCGCGGGGGGTGTGGTCCCAAGCAGTGGGTTCCCCGCAGCCCGCCCGCGCTCCTCACCAGGTCAATGGCCACGACGTCCCGCAGCGCCACCACACGACGGATGGACTTGGGCGGGTTCTCGGTCAGGTAGATGGTCCGGTCGCTGAGTACCACGTACTTGAAGGTGTGCTTCTCGTCGTCGGACACCACGACGCACGGCTCGTAGGCCCGCGAGCGCCCCGAAGCAGTCAGCTCCGCCGCCACCTCCCGCTCGGCGGCCCCCAGCTTCAGGGACCGACTTCTGGATCTGGTTCCTCGCTCCCTTCAGTCTTCGTCCTAACCTCAGACAACGGTGGGCGGAGCAAGACGCTTGTCCTTCAGGCCCTGGCTGACAGGCACCCCGGGCTAATCGCGGCCCTGCTGCGGATAACTGGGGGTCCTCCCCGCCGACCCTGACCGCGCCTGGTCCAGCTGTGGAGGACCGTCTCGTGTAAACTATTGATAGAGAGCCGCCTTAATCTGATTTCCCGTTAGAAACTTAGATGGAATCTACCCATTTGTTTGTAACGACCCTGGAACCTTATTCAGGTTAATCATACAGATTTAGAATTTGATTGTAGCGTTGCCTGGTCTAGCTCTCTAATTTTTTTTTTTTTTGGAGAGATTTTCACTGTAGGGCGCGTGCGCTTGATAGACAGACAGAGAGAGACATAGAGACAGAAAGCGAGAAATCACCCCCCATGGGGGATGGTCACGCCGCAATCCCTTCTCCTCCATTCTCCTCTCAGGATCTTGGGCACGCACGTACACGCGCCCGGCGTGAGTTTTAAGCCACCGGGTCCGGGACACGAACCGCGGTCGACTATGTGGGAGTCCAGCGACATAGCCATTACGCTAACTGCTGGTTCCCCAAGCTCTCTAATTTTGTCATGAGTGTGAACGGTGGTCTTCTTTCTCCAACCAGTTAAACCGCTCTCTGAAAGAAGGGAGTATTATGTAAATGGATTGGGGCACACCCACGCCCGCCTAAGGAGTGTGCCCAGGACAATCTCTGCAGGATGAATGAACGGGTAAGGCTGGCATCTTGAAAAGTTGAAGCTGATCCGTTGACAAATGCTGACTCCATAGCCCTGAGGCTGCAGAGTAGTAAATGTACTGCTTAGCTTTTGCAGACCAATACGGTATTATAAATTAGGTTAGACAGGTAAGAAAGGCACAACAGAAACGGCCCCAGGTGAGAACTTCCATTTTTATTTCAAATCTTAGAATAGTTGTTCTTTCCCTTCCCCAGTCACCCGAAAACCTCATAATGAAAACCATGTCATTGCTCCGGTTACCCACAACTCAGAATCAAATACGATACTCTATGGTAATTTTCATTCTCTTCCTATTTTACTACTGTATACTGTATGTTGTTTGCAATCTCAAAGTGCTTATTACATAGACATTTTGTAGATTAAACTGCTACGGAGGGGAAAGATAAGTGTGTAGGTCTGGCTAGACTCAGTAATAAGTGAAGCCATAGGAACAGGGCAGTATTCCTTTTCTTGGCGAGACTGTATTTAGTGAACGGGAGAAAGTGCCACCTGCTGGCAAAACCTTAAATGGCCCAGGACGTAAAGATCTGATCATTCACCGCCTAATGGCTGGATGAGAAGGGAGCGGGCTGCGCCATCCCTTACAAACGTTATTGACAAAGGAGGCCACGGGCTGTTTCCCCTGAATTAGGCTATTCCTTATCCACATCTCTCTAAGGAGGGTCTGTTGCTTCAACCCAACAGAAAGAAGAGGACCTTTTGACCTTGGCTCAATAGCTACCGCCATCTGAGAGGCAAAGGAGGACCACATCAGGGGTGAAAAGTGAGGCTCCTGCTGGAGGGACGGCCTCACCTCAGGATGCTGCCCTGTGCCTCTCGGTCCTCCTGCTTCATACCCACTTCTCGGGATCAAGAGAGACGAAATGACTGGGCCGAGACCAGGGGAGACAGCACACATCCATGTGCCAAGACACCCACATGAATAAGCTTTTGGTGACAAGGGCAGTAAGTTTAACAAACATTAAGAAGAGAAGTCCATGGAGCTAGCAAATGGCATAATGGTTACGTCGCTGGACTCCCACTGAGTCAGCCATGGTTCAAGTCCCGGACCCGTCTGCTTAAACTCACGCTGGGCACATGTGTGTTCGCGTGTGTGCCCAAGACACCAAGAGGAGAATGGAGGAGAAGGGATTGCGGCATGGCTGTCCCCTGTTGGGGGGGGGGAGTGGGTGGGGGGTGGAGTGATGTCTCTCTTTCTGTCTCTGTCTTTCTGGCAAGCCCACATGCCCTATAGCAAAAACCTCTCACAAAAAGAAGAGAAGCCCACAAAGAAGGGGATTTGACCCAGAGCAGGTAATTAGGTGACTTCAGCTAAACTTTTCACTTCGTGGCAGAAGGCAGTATTGTCAAGGACTCAGTGTTCTCCCCTGTTGCCAAGGAAACAGCAAAATTCAGACAGCAGGGAAGGGGTTAAATAAGGGAAAGATCATTGGATTAGGAGTCAGGAGAACTGGATTAGAGTGCTAACCCTGGGGTTCACTCTCCACGGGATTTCTGAAAGTCACTTAACCTTTCTGAGCCTCCGTTTCATCATCTACAAAGCAAAACTATTAATACTTGCCTTGCTCCCCTCAAGAGTTAGTGGGAGAGTATGTGTGGTGATTATGGACTCCATGAGCACTGCCCACACGTGGAGAACTATTATTTTCTTATTCTGGGGTAAGCTTTACATGAATAGTTCATCCAGATGTACACAAGACAGACAGTCCTTTTAAAATTATTTATTTATGTATTCAGTTTGCTATAGGGCACGTGTGCTCATCAGAAAGAGAGAGGGAGAGAGGGAAAGAGAAATCATCACCTCCCCACCTCCTGCAAGGGGATGCCATGCTGCAATCTTTTCTCCTCCATTCTCCTCTTGGGATTTTATGCATGCACACATATGTGCCTGGCTTGTTTTCTAAGCTGCTGGGTCTAGGACTTGAACCACCCAGTTGGTCATGTGGGATCCAGTTACCTTAACCTCTGCACCACATGCTGGCCCGCTTACTCTTCATCTTATAATTCCAGCCAAACTTAAAAAACATTTGGTTCGGGACCAGCAGATGGCATAATGGTTATGTTGCTGGACCCCCACATGGTCGACCACAGCTCGAGTCCCAGACCTGGCTGCTTAAAACTCACGCTGGGTGTGTGTGTGCATGTGTGCCCAAAAATCCTGAGAGGAGAATGGAGGAGAAGGGATTATAGTGTGCCCATCCCCAGGGGGTGGGGTTGATTTCTCGCTCTCCATCTTTCTTTCTCTTTCCAGCAAGCACCACATGTGCACTACAGCAAAAACCTCTCTTAAAAGAAGAAAAATAAGCAACAGCAGCAGCAGCAGAAGCAGCTTCTGATTCAGATCCCATACATATAAGCACTTAATAGATGTTTCTTGGGCCAGACCCATAGCCTAGTGGTTAAGGGAGCCAGATCTCATGTAGTCCACCATTATTCAAATCTTGGCCCCATTGACTTGTAAAACACACGGCGCATGCCTCAAATCCCCACAGGATGGAGAAAAGAAGGAAAAAGGAATTGTGGCATGACCATTCCCCACTGGGGATTGCTTTCTCTCTCTCCTTGTCTCTCTTTGTCTCTGGCAAGTGTATATACCCTCTGGCAATTAAAAAAAACGAAATACATATGATTAAACTATAAGGAATAGAACAGTACTTACTAAAACTAATCCCCAAAGGCACTTTCTTTGACTCTCACCAGAGTGGTCTACAGTCCAAAGATGGTCAATCCAATTAATTTGACAGGAGAGTAGCAATGAGTGTAGGACACACAGCCAGATGACATGGATTCAAATTCCAGTCCTCCCACTCCATAGCTCAATAACCTTGGACGTTATTTTATGGCCCAGTTTACCCGTTTGTGAAATGGGGGTAATAGTACATACTACAAAGTGTTACTATGAGATTAACAAATTTTCAAAGGTATTTAGAACAGTGACCTGCATAGAGTAAAAAACTATGTAACTATTTAAAGAATAAGTTCCACAAGTGTGTGGTTTCCTGTTACATAAATGGTCATTCTGCTCGGTTACAAAGCAATACCACATTATTCTTCACTAGGTACTAGTCTGTCCTTTAACTTTAGATTAAGGCTCGAGGCAAGAATCTAATCTACAAATACACATGAACACACACATGCTATGTCACGAGAGTCCTGTAAAGATTTCAAACTATAGGGGCCAGCAGGTGGCGTGGTGGTTAAGGTGCTGCATTCCCACATAGTCAACCACAGTTTCAATCCCAGACTGGAAGCTTGCAAATCATGCAAGCACATGTGTATGAGTGCCCCAAATCCCAAGAGAAGAATGGAGACGGGATTGTGGCATGACCGACCCACCTCGGGGGTAATTTCTCACTTTCCCTGTTTTTCTAGCAAGCACACATGCCCTATGACAAAAATTTAAAAATAAAAAAATTTCCAACTACAGGTACCCTTTAATGAGTCTAAGAATCCAAATGTTCCCATCCTCCCAACTTGAAACTAAAGACAGATAGTACGCATAGAAAGATACTTGGAATTTGTGGTAGGTAAATAAGTAAAACCTGATTTATTTTCTTTATTTTCCTGATTTTTTTGAGTTTGCTATGGGGTGCATGTGCTCATGAGAGGGGAGAGGGAGAGAGAGAAAGTAGGAAAGCACCCCCGGAAGGGGGATGGCCACACCACAATCCCTTTACCTCCATCCTCCTCTTTGGATTTTGGGCATGTATGCCAGCTGTGTTTTTCAAGCTATTAGGTCCAGGACTTAAAACATTCAGTTGGCCCTGTGGGATCCAGCCACCTTAACCTCCATGCTACCTGCTGGCCCATAGAAACTGAAATTTTTCTTTTTAAAAGGTTTTTGCCATAGGCATGTGCACTCACTGGAGAGAGACAGTGAGAGGAATAGTGAGAAATCACTCCCCAGGGAGGACGGCCATGCCACAATCCCTTCTCCTCCATTCTCTTCTTGGGATTTTGGGCACACATGCACATGCACCTGGCATGATTTTCAAGCCCCTATCTCTCTCTGAGACTCAAACCATGGTTGTCCATGTGGGAGTCCAACACCTTAAGCATCACACCACCTGGTGCCTCTGGAACCTGAATTTTTAAAAGTATATTATGTAGGAATTTCTTAGTGTGCTTTTACTCAATATTAATGAATACTAACCCTTTAAATAAATACAATGATCCCACTGCAATGGTACATATGGTAGAGAGCTGCTGACACTTGAGCTACATGGGACTCTGGATACAGATACCAGGTCAACATGAACACACTGGGCATGCTCACACACACCCACACTCCTGATTGGCTGGGAGGACTATTGTGGAGTGGAGAGACTCTGTCAAGGGAATCTCTTTCTCATTCTACTTCTCTAAATAAATAAATAAATAAAACTTAAAAATGTGTATCTATGACAATTAGCAAACAGATGACATAAAGAAGAGAAATGTAGGGGCCAGCAGGTGGCATGGTGGTTAAGGGCACTGGACTCCCACATGGCCGTCCACAGTTCAAATTCTGGACCTGGTGGCTTGCTTTCTCATTTTCCCTCTCTTGCTTTCTCTCACTCTGTCCCTCTGTGGTCAAATTAAAATAAATACATAAAATTAAATAAAATAATTGTTAAAAAAAAAAAGAAGAGAAATGTCATTATAATAAAGTTTAAGGGACAGTACAAATCATTTTGATACAACATTTTTTTATTTTACTGAATAATGCTACCATGCTGTGTTCTGCTTCTCTCTGGCTTCCTGTTATATACGCACATCCTCTGGGAGAAGACAGTGATTGGATTATGAGCATATCTGATCGCATACCTTTCCACTTTCCAACTTCTTAATCTACCAAGAAGTCCTTCGTGAATGAGCTTCTGGTGATAAAGGCTTAAGGCTTATCAAACAAATTGAAAACACAGACTATTAGAAACGATCTATAGAACTGGAGGTTATTTTCATAGAACTGAGTATTCAAACTGTAGAAATAGATAATTACTGATGGAACAAGTAAAGACAAAAGAAAACCCGATGGCTAAGAGCTCAGCCTTATGGAAAACATGGTAATAAAGTAAAAGCAGGGGTGCGGTGAAGAAGACAAAAAATTGAAAAAAAAAAAAAAAGTAAAAGGAGCTTGAGAATAACAGAGTCAGAAATCAAGAGAGGAGAGAATACCAAAAAGGAAAGAAATAGTCACTGAAGAAGTTGAAAGAACCAATGACGAAGTTGAAATAGTCAATGAGGTTGAAACCCAAGGTCAACAGAGATGTTGACAGAAACGAATAAGTGAACAGAAATGGTCACGGAGTTGGAAGATTTGTAGACGTTTCAGTAGAGTGATTTGGGATTAGAAGACAGGTTACCAAAAGTGAAGGGAGATGAGAAGGGTCCAGGGTTCTGGACCGGCTGTGTAAAGTAAGCTCTGTGACTTAAACTAGAACCCTTGGTTTTCTCATTCATTAATGCAAAATGATGATGACACCTGCTCCTTCCCTACAATGTTAAGAAGAACAAATTAGAAAGAGTATGAGAAGACACACGGTAAATCATAATGAAATAAACACGTGAAAGTTATCTACCATAATTCTTTCAAGTACTCTGGTAATTAAAAGAAAGGGAGATATGGAACAGGCACAAACTTATGAGAGGCCTCTGAGCACCTGCGTAGGAAGAAGTGACTTAGTACTGTAGACTGACCATATTCTTCAGTTTTTTTTTTTTTTACAGGGAGTGTGTGCTCACCAGAGAGACAGAGAGATAGAATGCGAGAAATCACCCCCCAGGGGGGATGGCCACGCTGCAATCCCTTCTCCTCCATTCTCCTCTCGGGATCTTGGGCACGCACGCACACACGCCCGGCATGAGTTTAAGCCACTGGGTCCAGGAATCGAACCACGGATGACTACATGGGAGTCCAGCGACATAGCCATTATGCTAACTGCTGGTCCCTATATTCTCAATTTTAATAGACCTACATCTTGGAGACAGCGGTTAGAAGGACAGGTTTTAGAGTTAAGACTATGGAAGGTTCAATCCCAGCTTTGTTACTTAACTCCTATGCACTTTGGTTTCCTCATCTATAAAATGGGGGTAATAATAGTACCTTTCTCGTTAGATCTGTTGGGATGATTAATGTTAGAAATGCTTAAAACTGTGTCTGGCACAGGATGAATGCTCAAAAATGTTGCCCATATATTAATACACGCAAGCATGGCCATTTGTAAACATACATACATTGGGTTCAGATAATGATAGCACAGGCCAGCTGGTGGTGTGGTGACAGAAGTGGCTGGATTCCTCAAGGCCAGTTCTCTAGTTTGCATCCTGGATCTGGCGTGTTTATCAAACACTTGTGGGAATGTGTGTGTGCATGTCCAAAATCTCAAGCAGGAGAAATAGAGGATCAGTGATTATAGTGTTACTCTGTGGGCGTTGTTTTCTCACTCTCCTGTCTCTCTCCAGCAAGCACACGTGCTGACAAGTGTATGTACCCTCTGATAAAATGTTTAAAATGCTAGTGCTACTTGTCAACACTTTTATTTTCATTGTTCATGATAGAATGCATGTGTGTTAGAGAGAAATGAGTACCCCTCACGGGGTCTAGTCATGCCGCCATCTCCTTCCTCCAGTCCTACAGCCCGTTGGATCTTAGGTACACACGCGTGCTTGGCCGTGCCTTAGGCCGTGCTGGGCTGCGCCTCAAACCACAGACACTATGTGGGAGCCAGCTTGTCTCTCTCTCTCTCTTTTTTGTTTGGAGAATTTTTCCTATAGGGCGGGTGCACTCACCAGAAAGAGAGCAACAGAGAGAGAGAGAGAAAGTGAGAAATCACCCCCCCGGGAGGATGGCCACACCACAGTCCCTTCTCTTCCATTCTCCTCCTGGGATCTTGGGCCCACACGTACATCAGTTTAAGCCACCAGGTCCAGGACGCAAATCGAAATCGAATACATGGGAGTCCAGCGACATAGCCATCCTCCTGAGCAGGGGAGGCAGAATATGGAATGGTGAACTTTAATATTGCTCTCAGTTTCTCTTCAGTTGGATTCTAACAAATGCTTCTTTATGTGTTCTGAATATGAGTTTAGATATTCAGAAAGAGATTTTTTATAATCCTAGGAATCTGTACTATATATATTTGAGCTGTACCCGCTATAAAAAAAAGCACCAATGTCACTAGACAAACTTTAGATAAGCTGCAGATGAGCTTTATATGATATTTAATGTATCAAATGCAGTCATCTCTCAGCATTCTTGGACAGGTTGGTTCTAGTCTCCCACAGATACTGAGATCTATGGACATGTAAGTCTATCGTGTAAAATAAAGTATTTGAGGGAGTTACCGTAATGGCTATGTTGCTGAACTCCCACGTAGCCGACCGTGGTTTGAGTCCTGGACCCAGTGGCTTAAACTCATGCCGGGCGCATGTACATGTGTGCCCAAGATCCCAAGAGGAAGAATGGAGGAGAAGGGATTGTGGCATGGCCATTCCCCCCAGGGGGTGATTTCTCAATTTCTCTCTCTCTGTCTGCCTCTGTCTTTCTGGCGAGCGCATGTGCCCTCTAGCAAAAACCTCTCAAAAAAAAAAAAAAGTAGTATTTGAATATACCCTATGCACATCCTCCTGTACACTAATCATTTCCACATGACTCATAATACCTAATACGATATAAGTGCTATGTAAGTAGTTATACTATATTGTTTTGTGAATAATGACAAGGAAGTCTTACATGTTCAGAACAGATGCAACCATCCCGTGCCTAACTACGCAGTACATGTGAACAACCAATACCCAGTAGAATCCACAGATGTGGAACTAGTGGCTATGGGAGGGTGGACTGTACCTACAAAATGAATTATAAATGAAAAGGGCAAGTAAAGGCATTTTCAAAACAATAGAATTGCCTCATTCCTTAGGATGAGGCAGTGACATATGCTCAATATATTTCATATGTCAGAGTCACTCCAACCAGGATTAGTATTAGGCCTCCATAGACAACTGTCACAGTTAGGATAAGAATCCATGCAATGACTAATTTATTGAGTTGTAACTACAGGATGGCATACTGCTCAACTCTGAGGATGGAAAAAGACAGGACAGAAATCCTAACCTGACATTTTATTATTAGAATTATTTACTATTATCATTTTTTAATTTTCCATAGGGCATGTGCCACAGAGAGAGAGAGAAAGGTCCGGAACTTGAACTACGGTTGTCCATGTGGGAGTCCAGCGCCTTAATCACATCACCTGCTGGCCCCCCCATCCTGACATTTTAAACAATTAGAAATGTGATACAAATGTGCTTCCAGACTTTTTTTTTTTAAAAGAATTACTTATTTAACTTTATTTATTCATTCATTTAATTTGATCAGAAAGAGACAGAGAAAGTGAGAAAGCAAGACACCAGGTTCAGGACTTGAACTGTGGTTGGCCATGTGGGAGTGTCCAGGGCCTTAACCACCACGCCAACTGTTGGTCCCAACTTTTAGACATTTTATAAATTAAATGCCTGGCACAGCATCTTGCACGAAGTGGTCACTAGTTAAAGGAAACTGCTAAATTGTTACATTAATTTTATTCTTCTTTCTATTCCTCAAGGCTCCCTTCAAGTTTTGTTCTTTCCTGTAGTCTCAATGGCTACCTCCTAGTCTGTGATCACTGTGCACTGAATGAACAATGAAGCCTAAACATTCAGCACTTACTGTGTGCCAAACACATGTAATAACGCAGTCCTCGTAACAACCCTTTGGGGTATTAGCAACTCGGTGTTACAAAGCGACTTAAGTAGATACAGTAGCGTGCCGAGGCCAGAACTAGTGAGGAGGGCTGGGGTTCAAATGTAGCCAGCAGAGCCTACACTGCTTCTATGTAGTACTAATAAATCATAAACTGGTTACCGAATAAACCGAGTAACAGTGAGTGCCTAGAAAGAACCTATGAGTAGGACTTCCGAAGAATGCTTTCCTTCTTTTCGCCAACAACACAGCAACATGCTTAAAAGTTCAGAACATCTCCGCGCTCACAAGCCGACCCTTCCGCTGAACTGGGAGCACGCGGGGCCACAGAGGAGCAATGAAACGACTCACTCACGTGGCTCGAACCACGTCGCCCTGATCTCCAGATCTCTGCGCTCTAGCTTGCCAACTACCAGGCGGAGCCTTTGTGGTCGGCGCTCAGCGCCCCCGACCTGCCTGTTCGGACCCTGAGCCGACACACCAGAGGCTCTGCGGCGCTGGGGCGCAGCGGGCCTGGCACCCCATCCCGGCATGCACCACAGGCCTCGGCGACCACGCCTCCCGGGGAGCGCCGGGACGCGGGTGCCCCCCGCCGCCCGGAAGCGCCGCCGCTCGGGGCATGCTGGGAGTTGTAGGCGCCTGGGCCCAGCCCGCGGGCCCCAGTCCTAGCTCTCCATGAGGCCGCTGGCGCCGGCCGCGCGGCACCGAC